GATATTAGGGCTCTATCTGAAGTGTGAGGAGTAAAAATTTGTTCCCATGATGTAGGCTCCCTATTTACCTCTCTTATTGTTTCTCTTGCTGAGAAAAAACTTTTTAGTTTGAGTAAGTCCCATTTGTTGATTCTTGTTATTAACTCTTGTGCTATGGGTGTCCTATTAAGGAATTTGGAGCCCGACCCCACAATATGTAGATCGGAGCCAACTTTTTCTTCTATCAGACGCAGAGTCTCTGATTTGATATCAAGCTCTTTGATCCATTTTGAGTTAACTTTTGTGCATGGTGAGAGAAAGGGATTCAGTTTCATTTTGTTGCATATGGATTTCCAGTTTTCCCAGCACCATTTGTTGAAGATGCTATGCTTCCTCCATTGCATGCTTTTAGCCCCTTTATCAAATATAAGAAAGTTATAATTTTGTGGATTGGTCTCTGTGTCCTCTATTCTGTACCATTGGTCCACCCGCCTGTTTTGGTACCAGTACCATGCTGTTTCTGTTACTATTGCTCTGTAGTATAGTTTGGTATCGCTATACCGCCTGATTCACACTTCCTGCTTAGAATTGCTTTTGCTATTCTGGGTCTTTTATTGTTCCATATGAATTTCATGATTGCTTTATCTATTTCTACAAGAAATGCCGTTGGGATTTTGATTGGCATTGCATTAAACCTATAGAGATCTTTGGGTAATATCGCCATTTTGATGATGTTAGTTCTGCCTATCCATGAACAGGGTATATTTTTCCATCTTCTAAGATCTTCTATTTATCTCTTTAGGATTCTGTAGTTTTCATTGTATAAATCTTTCACCTCTTTTGTTAGGTTGATTCCCAAGTATTTTATTTTTTTTGAGGGTATTGTGAATGGGGTGGTTGTCCTCATTTCCATTTCAGAAGATTTGTCGCTGATATACAGGAATGCCTTTGATTTTATATCCTGCCAATTTGCTGAATTCATTTATTAGCTCTAGTAGTTTCTTTGTAGAACCTTTTGGGTCTGTTATATATAGAATCATATCATCCACAAATAGTGATAATTTAAGTTCTTCTGTTCCTATTTTTATGCCTTTAATTTCTTTTGTCTGTCTAATTGCTCTGGCTAGTATTTCGAGAACTAAATTGAATAGAAGTGGTGAGAGAGGACATCCCTGTCTTGTTCCAGATTTTAGAGGGAATGCCTTCAGTTTTTTTTCCATTTAGAATGATGCTAGCCTGAGGCTTAGCATATATATAGCTTTTACAATATTGAGGTAAGTTCCTGTTATCCCTAGCTTTTCTAGTATTTTGAACATAAAGGGATGCTGTACTTTGTCATATGCTTTTTCTGTGTCTATCAAGATGATCATGTGGTTCTTATTGTTAAGTCTATTGATGTGGTGAATAACATTTATTGATTTCCGTATATTGAACCAGCCTTGCATCCCAGGGATCAATCCTGCTTGATCATGGTGCACAATTTTTTTGATATGCTTCTGTATTCGATTTGCCAGGATTTTATTGAGGATTTTTGCATCTAAGTTCATTAGAGATATTGGTCTGTAGTTTTCTTTCTTTGAAGTGTCTTTGTCTAGTTTCGGGATCAGGGTGATGTTGGCCTCATAGAATGAATTTGGAAGAGCTCCTTCTTTTTCTATTTCTTGAAATAACTTGAAAAGTATTGGTATTAATTCTACTTTGAAGGTTTTGTAAAACTCCGCTGTATACCCATCCGGTCCAGGGCTTTTCTTGGTTGGTAGTCTTTTGATGGCTTCTTCTATTTCCTCCTTTGTTATTGGTCTATTTAAATTGTGTGGGTCTTCCTGACTCAATCTGGGCAAATCATATGAAATTTATCGATATCTTCACTATCTTCTATTTTATTGGAATATAGGGTTTCAAAATAATTTCTAATTATCTTCTGTATTTCTGTAGTGTCCGTTGTGACATTGCCTTTTTCATCCTGTATGTTAGTAATTTGAGTTCTCTCTCTTCTTCTCTTCGTTAGCATGGCTAAGGGTCTGTCGATCTTATTTATTTTTTCAAAGACCCAACTTTTAGTTTTATCAATTTTTTCAATGGTTTTTTTTTTTTTGTTGCAATTTCATTGATTTCAACTCTGATTTTAATTATTTCTTGCCTTTTACTACATTTGCTGTTGTTTTGCTCTTCCTTTTCTAGGGTTTTGAGATGAAGTGTGAGCTCATTTATTTGTTGGTTTTTTTCTTTTTTTGAGGAATGAACTCCAGGCAATGAATTTCCCTCTTAAAACTGCTTTCATTGTGTCCCATAGATTCTGATATGTTGTGTCTGTATTTTCATTTTATCCCTAAGAATTTTCTGTTTTCCTCCTTTATGTCTTCTGTAACCCATTGATCGTTCAGTAATATATTGTTCATTTTCCAGGTGATGCAGGATTTTTCCTTCCTTCTTTTATCATTGATTTCCAGTTTCATTCCATTATGATCAGATAAGATACATGGTATTATCTCCACACCTTTATATTTACTAAGGGTTGTTCTATGGCATAATATATGGTCTATCTTTGAGAAGGATCCATGTGCTGCTGAGAAGAACGTGTATCCACTTGATGATGGTTGATATAGTCTATATATGTCGTTAAGTCTAGGTTATGGATTGTGTTATTGAGTTCTATAGTTTCTTTATTCAACTTTTGTCTGGAGGATCTGTCCAATTCCACCATCATTTCTAACCCCCTGCCTCCTCCCTTCCCCTCCTATCCCTCTGCCCCATCTAGAGTTCGTCTATTCCTCCCATGCTCCCTCTCCCTACCCCACTATGAATCAGCCTCCTTATATCAGAGAAAACACTCGGCATTTGGTTTCAATGGACTCTTACCAGGCCCCAAAACAACTGATATAATGAAATGGATAAATTGATGATGAATAAAATAAACACAACAGAGTTCAAAGTATTCTTGAACTTTATGTAAGTTCAAGAAAAGGCAAAATAAATGATGGTGCTAGGATGGTAATCATCTTAGGAGATGAAGTGAAAATGGGTTATGGATCAACTTTCTGGGGTAATGGAAATGTTGTATGTCTTGATTAGGTGGCCATAACATACTACCATATACTCCGGTCAAAATTCATCAAAGCTTCATGCTTAAAATCTGAAAATTTTATTGTAGGTAAACAACACCTCATTTAAAAAAGAAGATACTATTAGCACTCTCACTGAGGAACACTGCTTAGACCTCTGAATTTTTGTTTGCTAAGGAAAAGTCCACATTATGCTGGCTTTATTAAAAAAAAATGTGGATCTCACAAACTTTTATGGTTTGGTACCAAAAAAAGCATTATTTTTTTAAAAAATTCTGATTATCAATGAAAAGAGAAGATATTAAGAAGAACTAAATTTTATACAGTCATTAAAACGAAACATAAAACAGGAGACAGACACACACACACACACACACACACACACAGAACGATTGTGCTATTATTCTGCTGCCTAAACACCGTATTTTCAATATTCTCCTAAGTACCCTATGTGATAGTTTTTCCCATGGTTATTTATGGGTGCTGTCCAGCTGACTTACTATTTGGCAGTTCAAAAGTTAATTTTTTAACTCATCATTGAGATTATTTTAAGTAGCAAAGTTAAAAAAAAAAAAACTTCAGAAAGACAAAGACCACAATTACCTTTATGATCTGAGCCAGAGACACACTTTCCTGCTGAGCAAGTGAAATGCCTCTAACTCTTTCTACATCTGACAGTTGGCGCACTGACTCCTCAATGGCACTCAGATAATTGAGTTCTGCTGTCATACGATGCTGGAGGCCAGCAGGAGAAAAGCGTTTCGAACCTAGAGGGTATAAAAATTGGAAAAGTTCACATGAAATTATACATCAAGATTTCTAAAATTGGGCTGGGGATGTGGCTCAAGCGGTAGCGCGCTTGCCTGGCATGCGCATGGCGCTGGGTTCGATCCTCAGCACCACATACAAATAAAGATGTTTGTCCGCCAAAAACTAAAGAATAAATATTAAAAAATTCCCTCTCTAAAAAAAAAAAGATTTCTAAAATTTATCTCTCCGATTATAAGAGCCAGAAACAAATAGCTTTCCTTTATAGGACAGATGGTGACTAACTTATACAATGTATTTTAAGCTACTTCTTTTATGTGCATGTGTTTGCACATGTGTATACAGACATACATACACTTATAAACAGTTCAGAATGCACAAATGGGATACATTCTTTAGGTTATGCTGGCAACAGAGGAAAAAACTGTCACTACTGCACTAATCAATCTTTCATGATTTTCAATCTTTTGATTTCTCACATAGCTTTTTAATACCTCAAAGAGAAATCACATTCATGTGAAAAACCATTTTCCGATGGGTCACCCAAAAAAAGAAATCTTCAATAAAATACGTAATATCTTATTTTAAAAATTATAACTGCATGGATCCACTTACCTGGTGTTGAAGTCATCTCTGTAGCTGTTCTGCTAGCAGCCAGGTTCACATCAGTAAAAGATGCACTGGGTTTAAATCCTGTTGTACTTGCGGGAATTATCACTGAGGACTTAGATTTTTCTAAGGAAGTCCCAGGAAGGTCGAACTGTAACAATTTCTGGGAACTTGGAGATAGCGGAGAAGTTGGAGTTTTTGGAGTTTTTCCCTTGTCTGATGAGACACTAGAAATTTTATTTCATAAAGACATAAGGAAAAAAAAAACTACTTTGAGCTAAACATAATAACATACATTACTTTCTTTTCCAACATAAGCTTTAACAAGCTATGATTTATTTATTTATTCAACAGTCATTACACTGAATCAATGACTATGAACACTCCCCTAACTGCTAGATTTATAATAGTGCAAGTACAATCCCTGAGTACAATCCATGCCCTGAATAAAATGGAAAAGGGGCCTCTTGATTAAATTGGCACTTAATTCCTCTGTAATGTATATTATGATTCATTGTAGTGAAAGTAATGTTTTCTAGAATCAACATTATATAACAATAAAAATATTGTATGTAAATGTATGTAAAGTCATATTAAAAAATTGTCTGAAAATGTGTCTGAAACAAGAACTGAAGGTTATTTGTAATCAACAGGCTAAGCATATATAACATTAAAAAGCAGGAAATAAAAACAAGAGTAGGCAAACTCCATAATCACTATAAAAATAAGTTTTCAAGAATCTGCTTGAAGGGCTAAAGCTATAGCTCAGTTGGTAGAGTGCCTGCCTTGCATGCCCAAGGTCCTGGGTTCGATTTCCAGCACCAAAAAAAAAAAAAAAAAATCTGTTTGAGTGAGCTAATAAACTGAATAGGAGAAAAAACGTTTATAGGAAGAACTAATTCCAACAATGAGACCAAAAGGATGCTAAAGAATTGGTTGTGCTGAAAGAGTAGAATACAGTTTGGAAACAAAATCTGTACGGAAAGAAATGAGATTCTTTATGGAAATCCAAAGGAAATACTTAAGTAAAATTAGATTCTTGGGTTGGTTTATGGGACAACTAACCTTTCAAAGCACCCAAGAAAGGAAGATGCTTAGGTCAAAAGACTTCACCAGAAACACAGTGGCAATGGCTTTCAGAACAGAAAGATGAGCTGTGCTTGAGGCACAGACTTCCTGAACAAGAGGTTTTTAACAGTTTAGGTGAGAGATGACCATACCCTAAAATCTAATCTAGAGCTATGAACAAAGTTTTTTCAGAACTACAGAATTTTATAGGAGCTCAGACATGCACAGTTAACTACTAAGGTGAAATTAATCAAATGAAAATTTTGAATATCAATGATATTTTAACTTTATTATAATTGGATTACAGTATAAAGCATACATTACTTTACCTCACAGAATGCCCAGAAAGTTCTTCCAAAGTGCTATCAACGTCAAGAGTTTGCTCATAATCTTTAGCAGAGAGTTTGCTATTGGTCCCAGATTTCTTTCCTTGATGGGAACCACGTTCTGAACTAGACTGTACTTTTTCCTCATCAATAAGTGTGTTTTGAACAGTTCCAGTGAATGAATCCAACCCTGTAAAGTAAATTTCTTATAAAGTTGATACCCAATATGAGTTACCAAAGAGATATAACCGATAGATAGATTTCAATAAAGTAATTAAAAATTACAGGCAGGAATACTTAAAAATTGTCTTATATTTAAAATGTTTTCCTTTATCTAAAATAGAATAACCATCCTTTTGCTTCTATTTAATGAAAGTAAAATGTCTTCCATTAATATATTCTACCTGCTATTAATAAGTTGTTCTTTGCTTATCTAATACTAAAAGATAAGTATATTAAACAAATAACCACAAAGAAGTTTTCTAAGGATAAAATTCAGAGTTGGGGAGAAAATCAGTAGCAAGTGCCAAATGAATTACACAATTCTTTTGAAAAACTTCATGGCAAGAACAATGTACACAAAAACTAAAAATAATCTTATTGGGATATATCTTATAGAGACTATTGAAATAACAAAAATCATGCATGATAGTCAATGCTTAACTTTATAACCTTATTTTAACATGTATTTCCAACACAGACTAATAAATCTAATTACATAAATAATAGTAATTTGAGCTATTTAAAATGCACTTCATATATATTACTCTATTGCTGTTAAACATCTCATAAAGTAGGTATTATATACCCAATTTCTAATGAGGTAACTAGAGATTTACAAGTCTTAAAAATAATTGCTTAAGGATGCAAAAGACGTACACCCAGGCTTCCTCATATGAGTTTATGCACTGTTCACTTAAATGGTAATGTTTAAATAGCAGCCTGGGAAAATTTTCTGATTACTTTTTTTTAAAAGCAAAATATAGAATTGTATATATGTTTTAGCAGCAGCTAAATTTTTTTAATGTATATAATTAAAAAATCAAAAGAAAGTACAGAAGTGCGGGGGTAGGGGTAGGCTATACACCAATGTTCACAGCAGCATTATTCCAATAGCCAAAAGATAAAAGCAACACAATTGTCCTTCATTAGGTGAGTGAATAAAGATAAGATACAACCATATAATGGAATATTATTCAGCTTTAAAAAGGAAGGACATTCTGACACAGGCTACCACACAGGTGAAATCTGAAGACATTATGCTAAGTGAAACCAGCCAGTCACAGAAGGACAAATACCATACAATTCCACTTGTATGAGATAGCGAGAACTGGCAAACTCAAGAACAGGAAATAGAAAAGTTGTTACCAGGGTTTGGGGAAAAAGGAGAATGAGAGTTACCATATAACAGATACAGATTTTCAGTTTGGAAAAATAAAAACTTTTTAGAGATGGTTGGTGGTGATGGTTGCACTATAGTGCAATATGAATGCTCTTAATGACACAGAATAGTACATTTAAAGTTGAATTATTCAAGGGATTACTAATCAATTAGAAAGGACTCTAAAGTCTATAATCTCTAGGCTAGAAGCAAACTATTAATACTGGTTATGTTTAATTTTTCTATAGTAAAGATGTATTGTTTTAATAAAAACATTACTCATTTAATACTACTCTTTGAAAATAAATACAGAATGTAAAAACTGTTACTGATTTTAAACAACCAAAAACTGTATATAATATGATGTTTTAAACAAGAAAGACTTCAATTCCTACTGATGAAAATGCATGAAAAGAAAATGTTTACACTTACATTAAAAGACTGCCAAATGAAAGTACATTTACATGCCAGGCACAGTGATGCACACCTGTAGTCCCAGCAGCTTGGGAGGCTGAGGCAGGAGGATTATGAGTTGAAAACCAGCCTCAGCAACTTAGCAAGGCCCTGAGCAACTTCACAAGACCCTGTCTCTAGATAAAATATTAAAAAGGAAGATGTAGCTTGGTGGTAAAGCAACACTGGGTTCAATCCCCAGCACAAAAAACAAAGAAAGAAAGTACATTTACATAACTCAAAGTTCATTAAAATAAGTTTCTTCTTAGTATTACCACCCAAACCTACCAACCACACTGGGTAAGGATTTTTCGCACAAGCATGCAGATACTCTTTTTCACCACCAAGAGGAGTATTCATAATAAAAATTACAGAGATTTTAGAACTTCAGGGACAAAGGAGAAGCTACATTTAAGATGTTGCAGTGGAAAAGGAGATATATTCAGGTCTTATGGTATTGTGAAAAGGGACTGGGGTTATCTAAAAGCCACAAATCACTGTATTTTATCTGTTATTTTATTTTAGATTATAATTTTTAAAAAATCTACATTGATTCCTCTCACTTATACTCATTTATACTCAACATATCATTTTAAAGTTGCATGGCATACTGTGGTAGACAGTAGACAGGATTTGGGAATCAAAAGTCAGAATCTGGGTTTTGCTAATAATGCATTAGTGATCTTAGGTGAGACACTAACAGCAATGCATAACAACTGCAAAATAAAACAATTGAGCAAGGTCAGCATTTCCCAAACCTTTCCAGCTGAATTCTAAAGCTATGCAATAATGAAGGAAGAAAGGACCCTTGTCAAATAAATTTGGAAAATACTTCACAGTATAGCCCCATCCTTATTCTAAAATCAAGAAATACAGACTTTAAACTATACTACAGAGCTACAGTAACAAAAATGACATGGTATTGGCGCCAAAATAGATTTGTGGACCAATAGTACAGAATAGAGGACACAGAGACAACTCACATAGACACAGTTATCTCATATGATAAAAAGGTGCCAAAAACATTCAGTGAAGAAAGATAGCCTATTCATCAAATAGTGCTGGCAAAACTGGAAATCCATATTTAGCAAAATGAAATTAAACCTCTATCTCTCATCCTGCACAAAAATCGACTCAAAGTGGATCAAAGACTCAGGCTCTAAACAGAGACCCTGCCACTAACAGAAGAAAAAGTAAGCCCAATCTTTACCATGTCGGCCTAGGATCTAACTTCCTTAACAAGATCCCTGAAGCACAAGAAATAAAATCAAGAATCAATAAATGGGATGGATTTAAATTAAAAAAGCTTCTCCTCAGCAAAGGAAATAATCAATAATGTGAGAAAAGAGCCTACAGATTGGGAGAAAATCTTTATCACATGCCACTCCAATAAAGCATTAATCTCTAGGATATATAAAGAACTCAAAAAACTTAACACCAAAAAAAACAAATAACCCAATAAATGGGCTAAGGAAGGACTCAAACAGAAAAGACACTTCAAAGAAGAAATACAATCGATCAACAAATATATGAAAAAGTGTTCAACGTCTTTAGCAATAAGAGAAATCAAAACTACACAAAGATTTCATCTCACGCCAGTCGGAATGGCAATCATCAAGAATACAGGCAATAATAAATGTTTGCAAGGATATGGGGGGAAAGGTATATTCATACATTGCTGGTGGGACTGCAAATTGGTACAACCACTATGGAAAGCAGTATGGAGATTCCTCAGAAAACTTGGAATGGAACCACCCTGATATCCCACTCCTCGGTTTATATGAAAGGACATTAAATCAGCATACTACAGTAATACAGCCACATCAATGTTTATAGCAGCTCAATTCACAATAGCTGAACAATGGAACCAAACTAGGTGTCCTTCAACAGATGAATGGACAAAGAAAATGTGGTATATATATTCAATGGACTATTACTCAGCTTTAAAGAAGAATGAACATATGGCATTTGCCAGTAAATGGAGTTGAAGAATATCATGCTAAGCAAAATACACTAATCCCAAAAAACCAAAGGCCGAATGTTTTCTCTAATATGTGAGTTCTAATTCCCAATATGGGGGGGGAGGGCATTAGAGAAGAATAGAGTTACCTTAGATTAGGTAGAGGAAAGTGAAGGGAGGTAAGGTGAGGAGAGTGGAGATAAGAACAGTAGTAGAACAAAACAGACATTATATGTATGTATATATGAGACTGCATGACCAATGTGATTCTACAACATGTACACTCAGAAAAATGAGAAATTATATCCCATCTATGTATGATATATCAAAGTGCATAAGTGTATTCTACTGTCAAGTATAACTAATTAAAACAAATTTAAAAACTAAATTAAAAAAAAAAGAAAAGAAATACTACTCTAAAGGCATTCCCAAATTTGTGGAACCATGAAGCTCTTTTACTCTTGGAACATGTATGAAAGACCCTTGTATCTCATGAGAAAATACAGACTTCAGTAAATGCTAGTGAAATAATGTCTAAAGGTCTTACTAAAGACTCTCAGAACAGTTAGAATACCTAAGAGAATTATATCAATGACTAAGAAACAAATTCTTCTACCACTCTCAATGTGGTATAGCAGCTCAATTCTCAAGTTGGAAGTATAAATTGGCTCTAAATTTTTGAGCCAATTCTCAAGTTGGAAGTATAAATTGGCTCTAAATTTTTGAAAAGCTATTTGGCAAAAAACAGCCAAATTTTAAACATGGATATGTTCTTTGCTCCATTATCTGACTTTTGGGATTCTGCCCTATAGAAAATAACTAGACTAATGCATAAAAGTATATTCATAAGGATATCAAAACCAGCAGTTTTTACAATGGAAAAAAACAAAACAACCTAAATATCCAGCAATATTAAGTAAATTAAAATATTCAAATAACAGAACACTAGGTAGTATTAACAAATGATAATCCCTATTTATTAACAGAGAAAGACATCTAAGAATAAAATAAAAATGAGATCCCATGCATGTAAAATTTCCTATTTATGAATGCCCACAAATTTTCTGGAAAGATTCTTATTTAAAATGTTAACATTTCACACCCATGAAGATGTTTATGATCAAAAAGCAGAAAATAACAAGTATTGGCATGAATGTGCAGAAATTTTAACATCTATTAAAATTTTATAACCCTTATCAATGATGAAATGTGACATGGTTAAAGGTACTATGAAAAACTGCATGGGTAGTTTCTAAAAAATTAAAAAGAATTTCCATCTGATCCAGCAATTCCACATTTTGGTGTGTGTACACACACACACACACACACACAAAAAAAAAAAAAAACCCCTGAAAGCAAGGACTCAAACAGATATCTGTTCAAAGCAATATCATTCACAATAATAAAAAGGGAAAAACCCAAACATCCAAGAACAGATAAACGGATAAACAAAATGGGGTTTATACATATGACAGAATATTAATCAACCTTAAAAAGGAAGAAAATTCTGATATATGCTACAAGGATAAACCTTGAACACATTATGTTAAGTGAAAAAGCTATATAAAAAAGAACAAATATTGTATAATTCCACTTATATTAAGTACCACACATATACTGTCACAGAGACAGAAAACAGAACAGTGCTTGCCAAAGGTTGTGGAAGGAGGAAGAGAGAGAGATTGTTTAACGGACAATATGAGAAGATGAAAAATTCTAAAGATAGTGGTAGTTGCAGGACTGAATGTGTATTATATGTCTCTGAACTGAGCACTGAAACAGTTAAAATGATAAATTTTATATATGTTTTGCTACAATAAAATAAAATGTTAACATTATTTATCTCTAGGTGCAGAGATTACTGATGATTTTTTATTTTCAAATATAGTTTTCCATATTGACTGGTTTCTTCCTCGTATGCCTACCCTCCTCAGTTTTAACTCAATAAATTATCTTTGCAATTACAAAATGTTCTAGAAGCAAAACCATTCCCTCACTTGAGGCCATCCTGTGAGTTTAAGGCTTTTGCATAATCCAGCATCTCATCATTGGTAGTCCTACAGAACAAATTAGTCAACAGTAGTACTGAGGGCACTGAAGGGTATCTCCATCACTTCAAAATGTTTACTGAAAAAGGTAAGGGAAGGCGGGGAGTGGGGTAATGAGAGGAGGGAATGGAGAAATTATATTCCATGCTTTTATAATTAATGATAAAATGAATCCTAACATTATGTATAGCTAAAAAAATCTAAAAATGCCAGGGGGCTAGCTACTGTGCTCAGTACTGGAACACACACATTAACTCTGATACTTTCATGAGAGCTTCAGGAGGCCATGAAATATCTATTAAAATTTTATAGATAAGGGAATGTGAAAGAAATGTGAAGATTATGTTAATGATACTCAGATATGAACGTGATATACCATTAAAAAACATGATGATACTATTAAAAGCAGTTGCAAAGCAGTAGTATCTGCATTCATTTTTTAAATAAAGATGTATGGGTGTGGTTTTATGTATATATTAGAAAAATAGGCACCAAAATGTTTAATGGTAATTGTCTCTGAACTGAATGATCAGGGAGAATTTGTACTTCTTGAATGAGTGATCATGTATTCCTTTATTATTAAGATAAAGGGGCTGGGGGTATAGCTCAGTGGTAGTGTGCTTGCCTAGCATGAATGAGGTGTTGGGTTCGATCCTTAGCACCACACAAAAACAAATAAAATAAAGGTATTGTGTCTATCCAAACACACACACACACAAAAAAAAAATTAAAAAGAGAAAAAGATGTATACTGTTATAGATCAAAAGGCATTACTTTACGTATTAAGCTACTACCTTATCATAAATTCCTCCAACTTCTTATGAAATCAAATCATAATGTAGGTCACTACCAAAAATTCATATACAATCACCATGTAGAATTCCACTTACATTCCATCTTTTCTTTTTTTCCTTTCTTTCCTTTAGAAGAAGTAGATGAACGAGATGATGCAACAGACTGGGCTCCAGATGAATGCTGGGAAGTAACTTCAACAGAGGAAAGATCATAGGCAGACTTTCTGCTACGATGGTCCTCCTGAGTGCCTATATTGCTGCCACCAATACTGTCAAAGAAAAAGTAACAGAAAAAATATGAGATCTGAGGGAGGCCATGAATTCTTCTTCAAAGCAGCTCTAAGACTATTGAATAGACACCTATGGGGAAAGCTCACCCTCTTTTTTTTTTTTTTTTTAATATTTTTTTAGTTGTAGATGGACACAATACCTTTATTTTGTTTACTTTTATGTGGTGCTGGGGATCGAACCCAGGCCTCACGCATGCTAGGAGAGCGCTCTACCACTGAGCCACAACCCTGGCCCAAGCTCACCCTCTTAAGTTAAAAAAAGTATGAACAAGAAAGTTATTTTGAAATTAAATAGTGGCAGACATATCCAAGGAATATTGTGAGAATTTGATCCTTTTATCAATCTTGTGATAAATGAATGTGCAGAAATGGAAACTAGTGAGCAACACAACAATACTAGAATTTTTTTGTAATACAAGGAAATAGGATCATCCTGTTAGAAGCCTGGAAATAAGTATTATAAAAATGGCTGTTAAGCAGAGAAATCCATGTCCACTCTCCAAAAGAAGTATTTTATTATGATGTAAAAATAAGGTTATGTACTGTTTGTTAAGAAAACTTTTTATAATCATCAAAAAAATGAAAAAGAAAAGAAAAACTGAAGATATTCAAAACTCTACTTAATCACTAGAATTGAACTACAATAAAAAATGGCTTCCACTTCACTTTTTTTTTTCATTATTATCCTAAGCCAGATTGCTCCCCATGATTCAATTTGAGAAAAACCTGAGATGAGTTTACTGAAGTCAAAATGTACAATTTTATAAGTCATAACTACTTGCCCTCTGATAATATGATAAGAGAATAATTTAATGTGTTCTATTTTAACCTGGAAATAAAATACATCAAATCATGTCAATTGGTAACATTAAATGTCACAGTCCTTTAAAAGTTTTTATTTAAAAAATTAATCTTTTGGGGCTGGGATTGTAGCTCAGTGGTAGAGCGCTTGCCTAGCACGGGCGGGACCCAGGTTCAATCCTCAGCACCACGTAAAAATAAAGGCATTGTGTTGTGTCCATCTACACCTAAAAAAAGTAAATAAATATTTTTTTAAAAAATTAATCTTTTATTTATTTATTTATTTTTACTCATTGATAGACCTTTAATTTACATGATAACAAAATTAAGGAGAAAATTCTTTCCAGCAAAGTCTCTATTCACATACAGTTATTTAATCTCTGTACTTCAGATTCCTCTCTAAAATAGGGAAACTAACAATAATACTTACTATATCAGGCTATTATAAAAATGAGTTAACAAAGTTAATGTCCTCAATTCTCCCAGTATCTTGGGCATTAAGAGCTCGATAATTACCAGATATTATAATCAGTTCAAACTTTTCCAAAGCTTTACAAAATTTTATATATTATCCCAGGTTTTAAAAAAATTACTCTTACATACGGATCATGAAGTATCTATATGATGTCCCTCAATTCTACCATAGAAAACCATTTCTTAAGCTTCTTCTATTAGTATACCACAAAACAGTTTCTCAGTACTATCCTCTACTGAGATTTGATGACCTAAACTTGGTTTACTATACATCAGGCCCTGTTTTAATACTTTGTATTTCACTGAATCCTCGTAACAACTCTGTGAGGCAGGCAGGTACTATTATTTTCTATTTTAACAAGAAGGAATTTGAGAAATAGAAATATTAAGTAATATGATCAAATAAATACAAGCAATTAATAATCCAGAGAGTCAAGATTTAAACCTAGGCAGTCTGAATACAGATATAGAGTACACAAAATTCCACTATACTACATAGATTCTATATTTATCTTTCAAAAAGCAAAATTTGACCAATATTCAGATCAAAGTTCTCATTTGTATATTTTTTTCACCCTTCAGACTTTATTTGATATTGTCATACTTAGGCTCAAGAGATGATTTTTTTTCTGTCAAAGTCCCACTCCCTGGAGAGGAAACAAAATCATCTTCATAAGAAACACTGCTTAGAGGGGTTGTAGTGACATTCAAAGGCCGCGATGCTGATGTTCCTCTATCTAATCTGTCTTCAAACCCTGTCAAAAGTAATAATTGATGCATAAAAATCAAAATTTAAAAATTCTAAGCAAAGTATTTCATGACATAGAGATTAATAATATGGATTTAGGGACAGTTTAGTTTGCTTTTACTAAAGCTTCTTTTCCATTTAATTTTTTTTTACCTAATAATTACATTTTTATTAAGAAAATTTTCAAACATACATAATAAATTAGCATAATGGAACCAATGTTTGGGAGTGCAAATATATAGCCAGATTACTATTCAAAATCTGACTACTATTAAAATTCATTTTGATAAACAGTAATAAAGTTGTTTTCATCTCAGAAATGTTACCACATTGCCCCTCTGAACTCTTGACCACTATATTCCAAGGATTCACAAGTTACTATATATAGAAAACATTTTTATTCAAGTATGTAAATATAACCACAGAAAACCAAGTATATACTTGAATATATGCCAAGTCTCTACCATCATCTATGAATTTCTCTAAACTAGATCCACAAATTCCACAAATATCAGATATTGTTTTATGACAATTAAAAAACAGAATATTAAATATTCTAGTGTATTAAATATTAAGTATTCTAGTTTAAATATTAAATATTCTAGTTGAAGTTTGCAGATAATTTAACAGACAATAAGATGGATTATAAATCTCCATTATCCTTGTAATAAACAATGTAATAATGTAATAAACAATGAAGAATGTGTACTTAAGTATATTATCTTGTATAAAAATTATGAAATAATTTAAAAAACACAAAGATGGTACAAGTCCTTCATATTTTTCTCACCTTTTCCATATAACTGATATGATTTGGTAAAAATATTAATGACACTATGTGGACTTCCCTTTGCTAATTCTTCCCATGGTCCTTTGCTTTGTGTACTACCTATGTGTCCCAAAAGTGGCAAGAATTTCTCAGCTTCCTTCTGAAACTCTTTGATGGGTTCATAAGTATTTCTTTCTCCAGCACAAAATTCCTTTTCTTTTAAGATTTCTGCCACCTTTAAAAGGGGCCGTCCATCCCGGACTCCCTCCTCTTCAGAAAAACTACCCTCACTAAGAAGAGGCCCTTCACTGACTGAGTCTGTGCTGGAACAAAGAGACATTTTGGCTTTTTCTTGAGAACAGGTTTGCAGATCAGGGATAGGAGAGTCAGTCTGCCTCTTACACAACTGTGCCAGCAGCCCTCCTGGTTTGGGATCAGCGGATCTTATTCTGAAGCTTGATATGGCACTCTGAGGTCGTATCATCTCAGGAAGCTTTTTAAATTCACTAAGGTTGCCTACACCAGGAAGATCATCATCAAAAGTTGTATGAGATACACAGGTTCCTAGCATCTTTTGAATTCGGGCAGAAAAAACATCTTCGGTATCCTCTTTCACAGGTGGACTTTGAGCCTTTGTCCAAGGTCCATCTTCTTGAGGTGCTTGCTGCACTTCACACTCAGTGTTCCACACTGACCCATAGTTAATGTTGGCCCCAGCCAATTTCTTGGCTTCACTTTCAATCCTGCTAGACAAAGAAGCAGCTGTTGCTTTCAAAGCTTCAATACGATCCAGTTTACTCTTATACTGGCTGGCACTAGGTTTTAACAAGGCATCTGGATGAGCAGCTGGTGAGGTCAGATATGGTTGAGGTGTAAAACTTAATGGTCCTGAAGTCATATTATGATTCTTCCTGGCTGGTAACATAGACTCAAAATCCTTATGCAAAATTCCTACATGTTCTAGATTTAAGAGATGGGAAAGTAAATTTCCAGCTGTTCCAACAAGAGGTTGTGGTTGGGAGTTATGAATCCGTGGGCTCAATCTGTCAGGCTGCATCCATGTAGGTTCTATCAAGTCTCTTCTGGAAATCAGAGTCACAATATGTTAGTTAACACAGCAACTAATAACTAAACTACCTTTTTGTTGTTGTTGCAGTGCTGGGGATCAAACCCATGGCTTCATGTATGCTAGGCAAGCCCTCTGTCATACAGCTACACCCCCAGTCCAAACCACCATTTTAAAAGAAGTTTTGGGTTTTTTTCTGATTATAAGAGTAGGGCATACTGGTGGAAAAAAAAGTAGAAAGTACAAAAAAGTTAAAGATCACTCACAGCTAACTAAACAAAGAGTCACTATAAATAGTTCATTTAGATTTATATCCTTCCAAACATTTTTCTATGTGCATGTTGTGTTTTGGCTGGTATTATTTGCACACACAAAAAATGAAATTTCACCATCCATACTGTTTTGCAATCTTAGTTGTATTTTTCAACTAAGATACCACTTTTTAAAAATTATTTATTAAAGAGAAGGCATTAAAATCTTGAAAATGAATTTCTTTACATCCCTGGCTCTATCTTATCCTTTGAAAATGTTATACAAAAGAGAAATGCTTAAGAGTGCTAAATATTAATGTAGACATTATATAGATTATTCCAATCAATAAACATTTACTAAAAGCTGACTACTGATGTTTAACATTGTGCTTACAAAAAAAATGAGATGATTACAACCAACTTCTAAAAAATTAATGAACATCAAGGAACTAAATGAAAAACTGTGAGTTCCAATAATAAATATACAATATAGGGTCAGGTGTCCATAAAGTCCAGAAACAGAAGAAAGATATCCTAACCAATATAATATGCATCCACCTATGTTTCCAGGCTATACACGCTCCCTGTATATTAAGGGAAACTACAGAGAAATTAAAGATGAATGTCAACTGTTAAGAAGATTTTGTTTAAGAGTCTTGTAGTTTACTTTTGAATGATGATAATAAGACATACTTATCAAATTTGCAGAAGACAGAAAACCTGGAAGCATGGCCTCCTCAACAAATGATCAAACTACTATTCAAAGTTATTTGTAAAGGCTGCAAATTTAGACTAAACTAATATGGAGAAATGTACACTTCCACAGTTGGACTAAAAAACATCTGGAAGAGGGTAACCAAGGTAATATCAACCAAGGTGATAAAGAAATGGAAATCATGTCAAGCAGGTTCTGGTGGGAAGTTACAGCAGTTTTGCATACTCAAGGGCTGTCAATAAGAACTGAATGAAGGAATATTATAGCACAGATTTTATGCTATCATATATAAAGTATTATAAATGCAAAATGTGAAGTTATTAGTGTCTAAGCTAAGCTGCTAACAACAGGAATACAAAGGCGGCTATAATACAAAAGACATCAATGAATAAAAATCCAAGAGTTTAAAATTAAAATTTTTATTAATTGATGTCTTTTGCATTATAACCGCCTTTGTATTCCTGTTGTTAGCAACTTAGCTTAGACACTAATAACTTAGCTTAGACACTAATAATTTCACTAATGCCAGTTTTATGGTGATATACTGATTGTGGAGGAAAAAAGGAAAACAAAAATGAATATATTTAATCCAGTTAAGAATTAATCCTGGCTGGAGAGGTGGCTGCGTTGGTGGAGTGCTGGCCTAGAATGCACAAAGTTCTGGGTTCAATCCTAAGCACCACATATAATAAGTAATGAAATAAATATCTAAAATAATAATAATAATAATTAATCCTTATTCTGGGATCTCAAGACATAACAAGGATGACAGACTAATAAATGAACAGCTAAAATTACAGATGTCATAAGTACTAAGATAAAGACAAAGTTCAGTAAGATAAAGATAAGGGAGCAAGTAGTTCTGCTAGACAAGGAAAGTAACTTTTGAACTGGTTCTTCCAGGTGTTCAATCTCAGGTATATAACCTGGTAGAAGCAAATTAGCAAACAAAAATGATGGCACATAAAGAGCAATGAAAATAAATGACATAATTTTAAGTATATAATAAATTCACTTTAACCATGAAGATAAATTTAAGCAATTAATAGGAATGAAGAAGCTCAGAAATGGATAGTGCAGAAGTGGAGGCAATAGGTTAAGACACTATAGGTTGAAGAAGTCTGGTATTAAAAGAAAAAAGAAACAAGAGGCAAATTTATAAACATGTATTGAAACAACACAGAGTACCTCATAAATATGTACAATAGACTTAACCTGTTTAGAATTAGAGAATGAAACTTAGAAAAAGGCAAAAATTGAAGATATGTATATCTGAAAACTGAAGAGGATCACCACCCAATTGTATTTACATTTTAAAAAATGTTTAAACCTTCAACAAATCATCTCAATCATTTCACTTATTAGGAGGCAGTATGGAGAGTAGTTAAAAGCACAGGCTTCTGGAGTCAGATTGCCTAGGTTCAAATCTATCCCCACCACTACTGTTTTAACAACTTGGAGAAAGTTAATTCAACTATAGTAGCCTCAATTACCTCTTCTGTAAAATAGGAACAACAGTGCCTAACACAAGGAATTATAAGGATTAAATAGTATACCAAAGTACTTAGATCACTGCCTAAAAGCTAAGAAACAATGTTAGCTATTTTATCAGTATTATTCTTCTCTAGGGTGAGGGGAAAGACGACCATGTACTAACCCCAAATTGGAAAGTGATTTGATTTCTATTTTGCAATGTTAAAGAATTTCAAAAATCTTTCTCTTCCCAAAATAGATCTCATTACTAAGTATAATTTATATCCATGTAATCTTTCACCGTGATTTATCCAGCAGATTTTTATTATTTGTTTGGTTCAGAGAAGAGTGCTTCCAACTGCAGGAAGAATCGACATTAATACTGGATTGAAGAACAGGCAAAATTTGAATAACTAAGAATAGGGCATAAAGTAAGTACAGCTATACAGCATGCTTAGAAGATATTATTAGAAATAAACCTATCTATGGGGCTGGGGTTGTGGCTTAGCAGTAGAGCACTCGCTTAGTATGTGTGAGGCCCTCGGTTTGATCCTCAGCACAACATATAAATAAATAAACATATTGTGTCCAACTACAGATAAAAAATAAAAGAAAGAAAGAAAGAAATCTCTCTATGTTCTCTTCCTCATAAAGGTCGGTCAGCAAAGTTCATTGATCACAGACCACCTACACTAAACTCCATAAAATGAAATTTTATCCTCCTCTTTTTACCTTGCAAGGGGCTGTGGGGGTTCTGATAGAGACATGTCACTACTGGAAGATGCACTTGGGGGACGTTCCTGTACTTTATTTTCTTTGTCAGATTCTCCAGATGGCTGATACCCTGGTCTGACCTAGAAAAAAAAAAAAAACGATATCACATTTATCTGACTTCTGACTTCTATCACAAGGAATTATTCAGAGAGCTCATAAGATAAACAGAGTGTTTTTCTTCCTCAAAAATAATTCACATTTAGTTTGCCTTTAAAATAACCATTATGATTAACAACAAAACATTTAAAATCCAACAAGAACACCTAATCCTAGCTGCCTAGTGTTAGGAAGAAGTAATATCCTTTATAAATCTCAGTTTTTTCACCTGATAAATAGAAATAAGGTAGTACCTACCCTTCTCATGGTTGTGAGAATTTACTGAGTTTAAGCCTATAAGTAAAGCCTTTCAAAAAGTATGAGATACATAGTACATACTTATTATTCCTTATTTTTAGCACACTAAACTAGAATAGTCTCTAATTTCAGCACAGATTACAAAACTAAGTATGTCCTAACATAATCTATATACTGAGTATTTGTTTGGTACTACAATGAAAACTAGGCAGGAATATAATAGCAAAGACAAAAGGAATCAATGTTGATTGACTGTTGAAATCAATATTGGAAACTCTTAATTCAGCTATTATTTTCTACCATATTTTTCATTACTCTTCATATGGAATAAATTTCATGAAAGGTCATGACTATTTTAAATATTATCTAAGCATATGTCTGAATACTAGTAATGGTGAATAATTTTTGAATAGTACAATATGGCAAATAAGCTTTTCCTAAGCACGACTTACTCCTTTTTGTATTTCTTACTACTATTACCTGAGTTTCCTGTGTAACATGTTGATGAGCTGGCTCTTCCAGCAAGGTCTTTTCTAGTAGCAATTTGGAGTAAGTTTCCTGTAGCCTTCTAGCTGCTGATGGATCAGGAGGCACATTTTTTGCTTTAGTAAAAGCTTCTTTCTGTTTCCGGTAGAGTTCCTGTAATCGTTTATTCTTCTGTTCAGTAGCCTCCTTTTGAGCCTTCTTCTCTTCGTTTTGCTTCCTCTTCCTTTCTTCCTGCTGTTTAACAATGTACTGTCGTACCTCATCAGTGTCATAATGGCGCTTTTTGGAAATAACAGGGGGCTCTTCGTTGGCTGTTATTTTGTCAGGTTTTCTTTTCACTGGGCTATGACTCCGAGGAACCTGGACAGGTGCTGATGCCTTCTGATTCTGTAACTCTCCAGTTTCTGGCCTAGAGGTCTGAGCTGTAGATTCTAGCTGTAAGTCATCAAGAATGCCACGGATTTCAACAGGTAAAAAGTCCTTATTTAAGGCAGTACTTTCCTCCTGTTTATTTTCTGGAAGAGATGGAGCTAACTTCTTTATATTATTTTCAGACCGAGCTCTACTTCTTGAACGTTCTGAGCTTCGTGGAAGAGGTCTCTGTGAAGCATCCAACCTGGGATCAGATTCTGCTCTTCCAATATGACCCCCTACAACATATGAACTGTTAGTGATATGTTAAAATTCTATATTCATTCCTAAGATTCATTGCACTAAGAAGAAAATTAAGGAATTTAACTTTATCTCAAGTTCAAAATATCCTATAATCTTCTAAAGAACATTATAAAAGGTCTGGGGTTGTGGCTCAGTGGCAGAGCACTTGCTTAGTATGTGTGAGACACTGGATTCGATCCTTAGCACTGGATACAAAAATAAGCAAATAAAATAAAGGCATGCTGCCCATCTATAACTACACACACACACACACACACACACACACACACACATACACACACAAAATAAAATAAAAAAGAAAGAAAAAAAACATAATAAAACCTTCCCTTTTTAATAGTAAAAGAATTTCAATCTTCAGAAAAACTATACTTCCTTTGGTCTTTTTCTTTTTTAATGCCTTTTTAAAAATTTCTAGAAAAAGAACAGATCTTACAGTTAATGTGAACATTAAACATTACTATTTCTTTCTTACATGCATATTTAATATGATCACTTCTCTGCTTTAAAAAGTTATTTAAAAATCAATAATCCGTGCTGGAGTTGTAGTTTAGTATTAGAGCACTCGCCTATAGGCTCTGGGCTTGATCCCTAGCACACAAAAACAACAAAAATCAATTATATTTTTAGTATAAAGTATCCTAATTAGAACCAAGGAAATTGAAAATATTTTAAGAATCTTTTAAAGAATAATAGTTTCTTACAGCTTTGCGAAGATCATATACCAAATCCAATAATAAAGGCACCAAAAATACTGATTTTATTGAAGATCCTACAACACCGACCCCTTTCATAATTACATGAAATAGGACCATATGTAGATAAGTTTATCAGAGAATTTCTGAAAGTTTAATTTACATTCTTCTTGGTACAGAAAATATTAAAACTAGCCTCATATATCATATTCACATTTTAGTAATCTCTGTAAAACAAACTTTTATTTTTGAGATGGAGGTTTCACTAGGTTGCCTAAACTAGTCTCAAACTCTCAATCCTCCCACTTCAAGCTCCCAAATAGCTGGTATTACAGTTGTGTGCCATCACACCCAGTTATGGCTTAATTTTAGATTGAGAATTTATTGGCAACATAGATGAAAGCGAGGAGGAAAAAATACAATGTATATTGACTTCTATATACCAAATTATAGCTGTGATGTCATTTCTTACTAAATCCTGCAGAAACTCAATTAAGGCAAATTTTGCTACTGTAAAGGAAATCTGGTTGTAGGTCTTTATCTTTTATTTATCAAAATTAGCATTATTCATTTCAAATATCATTTAAGATACTTCAAAAAGTGAAAAGTAGGGCTGGGGTTGTGGCTCAGTGGTGGAATGCTCGTCTATCATGCATGAGGTGCTGGGTTCGATCCTCAGCACCACATAAAAATAAAATAAAGATATGGTGTCCATCTAAAACTAAATATTTTTTTTAAGTGAAAAGTAATAGAATTGAGGGCCAAATGTAAAAGATCTGGTACTTATATCCAAAATATGCCACCAACTATACAACCCTGAGAAAAATTAATTTTCTTTCAGAGCCAGTTTCCTAAACTATATTTAAAAAACAAGCAATGGTGAGGTACTAAACAACTCAGTGAGACCCTGTCTCTAAATAAAATACAAAAAATAGGGCTGGGGATGCGGCTCAGTGGTCAAGTATCCTGAGTTCAATCCCTAGTATCAAAAAAATAAAAAATAAAAAAACAAACAAAAAACCCAACTTTGTAAATGTTTATTTATACACATTGGAAAAGACAGGCTGGATTTCATTCTCTTAAGGTCCCTAGAAGTGTGATATGATTTGAATAAAACACTGCTTTGATATTCATGACAGCTAATTGTAATGAATATAACAAACACAGAATTCTTTGTACAGATGGCCAGAACACCTATGAGCAGAGATTATTCAGATAAGCCCAGTAGAACTTTTTTTTTTTTTTTTTTTTTTCCAGGTGGGAGGCAGGGCACTCGACCACTGAGCCACATCCCCAGCCCTATTTTGTATTTTGTTTAGAGACACAGTCTCACTAAGTTGATTAGCACCTCACAGTTGCTGAGACTGGCTTTGAACCTGTGATCCTCCTGCCTCAGCCTCCGGAACTGCTAAGATTATAGGCATGTGCTAAGAGCCCAGACCCAGTAGAACATTTTTGCTTTGCATTTCATTCACAATTATAAAGTAAAGTCCTACAACATTCTCAAGTACATTAACCTTTTCAAGCCATTTTTAATTATTTTTTCAACAATTTTAATTACAGCCACTCACCAGATTTAGTAGTTTTTTCTCTTCCATTTCTGTCACTGGATGCTGTTCTTGGCTCTTTCTGCTCTATTCTGGGCACAGGTCCCAGAATTTTCTTTACTAATTTTTGTCCATCTCGCCAAGAAGATGTACTTATCACACGACTATTACCTAAAATATATAGGTGTATATATAACATTAAATTTAAAACTAAGTGTTAGCTCTAAGTAGTATACCTATGCAACCATGCAGGTTTTATAATTAATCTTGTTTATCTTCTGTTCAGGCCCAAAGTTTTACAAAATAACTGTGTTTTTAACTCTAAGCCACCAAAATTGGTTAACAATTTGTCCATCTTTGAAAGAGATGGCATTTCTAGGTCTTTCACATTATATTTTATAGGTGTATACCATTAATACACACCATTATTTTCTTAACAACAACACTCTCAATACAAATATCAACACTTTAAACTGCCCTCATTATAACGGCTCACAAAAATAAGAGTATATTTCAACAAATACAGCTGTTTACTAGGATGAAAACAATTTCTACTAGTTTCAGAAAATTAAAAATAGACTATCATCCCAAAATAGACAATATCCTCAATAGCAACAAATGACTTGAGACTGTTTATAAAATAGAAACTATAAAAAATAAACATGAAATAAATATGTGTTATGTAGAATAATATGAGAAACAGAATAATGAAAATGATGAAGTAGCACTTTAAAACTAATCAAATTACAAAGAAGGGCTGAGAATTGTGGCTAAGCGGTAGAGCGTTCGCCTCCCATATGCGAGACCCTGGGTTCAATCCTCAGCACCACATAAAAAAATAAATAAGTGAAATAAAGGTATTGTGTCCAACTACAACTAAAAAATAAATATTTTTTTTAATTACAAAGAAAATTTTTATATTAATAGCCTACACTTCTAGGCATAGTGGCACAAGCCTATAATCCCAGTTGCTCAGGAGACTAGGGCATGAGGCTCCCAAGTTCAAAGCCAGCCTCAGCAACTTAGCAAGGCCCTAAACAACTTAGGGCCTGCTGGACCCTGTCTCAAAATAAAAAAAAATAAAACGCTGACATAGCTCAGTGGTTAAGCAACCCTGGGATTCAATCCCTGGTATCAAAAAAAAAAAAAAGTCAAAGACATTCATTTAGGTTTTCATTTAAAAAGGATTTTAATTTAAAAGTTTAATTGGAAGTATAGTCTTAAGGAAAACATCAATCACAAAAAGGTGAATAATGTGTGATATTTACTTGAGAAATGTTTTCTACTCTGATATTAATTTTATATACTCTCTAAAATATTTAAACAGTTTTAAGTCTACTGCTCAATCTATTTTTAAGGAACTTTGTAATTTTAAGAAAAATGAGAAAACAGACTTCTCAATTTCAGTTTGAATTTCTGAATCAAAGGCAAACAAACATGAATACACTGTGTAGTTATTTATAAATGCTGGTTTCTGAATATGCTGGGTGGTTATCTATAAATTCTGGCTTTCTGAAACAGTCTCATTCAGTAAGTGAAAGAAAAAGACTTTCATTGGCAAACTACTAATATAGCTTTAGCATATTTAATGATTCTGTGTCTAAGTCATGCTACAGTGTATACATGGGAATTAGCCTACAACAAAAGTGGAAAAATAAACTCCAGATTAGTGCTGCAAGTTATAATGTTCCTGGTCCTTCATTTCATTTCAAACTAAACCCCTAACAACAGTATTGTATAATATTACATGAAAAGTTTTTTTTAATTTTAAGAATTAGTTAACACTGAGATCATTCACATTCTTGTAAAATTTCATTGTATTTGCATAAAACCAGTGTAATATGAAATTAATAAATGTTGTAAATTTATTTAGCATAGCATTAATTTATTTGCCATTATATTGATTAGTCTATGATCAGAAAATCAGTCTGATCATGGGGCTGGGAACTCAGTGGTAGAGTATCTGCCTTGCACATGTGAGGTACTAGGTTCGATCCTCAGCACCACATAAAAATAAATAAATAAAGATATTGTACCAACTACAACTTTAAAAAAAAAAAAAACAGTCTTATCAAAAAGCAGTGCCCCAGGCTGGGGCTGAGGCTATGGCTCAGTGGTAGCTCATTTGCCTGGCATGTGTGAGGCACTGGGTTTGATCCTCAGCACTACATACAAATAAATAAAGGCCTATTGACAACTAAAAAAAATCTTAAAAAAAAAAGTGTCCCATCTTTCTGATACTGTGTCCATAAAACTTGTTATTTTTTAGCATAGCATTAATTTATACTTCCTTGAAACTACATACCTCCTCCATGAAGGTTGAAACTATGTGCATCTAGTGTACCACTGTGTTACCTAAGCTTAGCACAGTGCTTCACAAAGAATAAGTGCTGGGGGCTGGGGTTGTGGCTCAGCGGTAGAGCGCTCGGTAGAGCGCTCGCCTGGCATGCACAGGGCCCTGGGTTCAATCCTCAGCACCACATAAACATAAAAATAAATGAATGGAATAAAAGTAAAAAAAAAGAACAAGTGCTCAAAAACATTTGAATAATGAATTAATGGATCAATTCAGAATGTCTCCAAACTGAAAGTGACCACACAGACACACACACACACACACACATACACACACACACAAAGATGATACAAAGTACTGAATTTTTCTATATGCCAACTCTGAGAATATTTGGTAACAAGTATTTATAGCATATAGATTCAAGATCAGTAATATATAACCTCAGGATGGATACAATACTGAAAGACTAACCTGTTTTGCATTCTGGACTTGATAACTGTGTTACCTTTTGAACTTTTCGTACTGGCTTGACCCCTTTCTTCTCTTTACTTTTGTCAGCAGGTTTCTCTTTTATAGAGATATCATCTGAAATGTAGAAAAATGTACAGCAATTATTATGATTCCCACCCACCTTTTCATCCTCCCAGTAAGAAAATTCATTACAGCAGTTGCCCCTTATCTGTGGTTTCACTTTCTGCAGTTTCAGTTACCCAAGGTTAAATACAATCCAAAAATATCAAATGGAAACTTAGGGAAACAAACAATTCAAAAGACTTAAATTGTACAACATTCTAAGTAACATCATGAACTCTCTTGCTATCTAGTCCAGAGCAGTTTATCCCTTTGCCGGCATATTCACACTGTATATGCTACCTGCCTACCCCTTAGTCAACCCCAGTAGCTCCTCTTGGTTATCAGACTGACTCTCACTCTTTTGCTATCATAGAGCTTCTGTTCAATTTACAAACCTTATTTTACTTAATAGACCCAATACCCAAGAGTAGTGAGCCACCATGCCTACGAAAAGCTATAAAGTACAGTGAAATTTGTTAACTTAATAAAGAAAAAATTATATGCTAAGGTGGCTAAGATCTACAATAAATTGTTGTTAATCTCTTACTGGACCTAACTAATAAATTAAACTTTATCAGTGGTATGTATAGGGGGAAAAAGTATAAGTAAGATTCAGTACTATCTTCAGTGCTAGGCATCCTCTGGGGTTCTTGGCATGTATCCCCAGCAGATAAGGTAGCGTGGGGCGAGATACAATATAAAGCATATGATTCAGGTAGCAAAAAAGAAATCTTCACTGAGGCTATTTCTGAGATGCACAAGCCATCAATATCAACTTTTCTTACAGAAAGATCTAAAGACTACCACTACTCCACTGTTAGAACGGTTCTAATTCTTTATTATTTTTTTTCTTCTCCAGAAACCTCATTTTCACAAATGGAAAAAAAAAGTTACAATAGTAATACATTAAAAGTCAAGGTCACCACATGTGCAGAATTTCAGAGGTGAACACTTTCACAAATTCCTATTTAATTTAAAAATGTAGAAACATAAAAAGTTTACAAAACAGTCAATATAAAATATATATATGTGTGTGTATATATAATTTTTTTTGCAGTAATGGTCTTCAACCCAGGGGGGCTCTATCACTGAACTACATCCCTAGCTGTTTTTATTTGTTATTTTGAGACATTGGCAACTTAACAGGGTCTTGTTAAGTTGCCAATGTTGGCCTTGAACTTGTGATTTTCTTGCTTTATAGTCATGGGATTATAGATGTGTACCACTACAACCCACTCAATATAATGTTCTTAAAGCAGATCCTTTCACAATTATGTAAGTGAAAACTGTCAGGGTATTTTGTATATAAATTATTCATTAATTCATTAGTGTTTTTTTCAATCTGGGGGCTGACTATGCATAGAAATTTTTTAAATTAACCTCAATTACAGATATGAATAAATGGAATTTAAAGTACATGGACAGCCTTGCATCATGGGCAGGAAAAAAAAAATAAGTATGGGTAAAAAGCTCTTAGGCAGGAGGTAAACTTAGTGTCTAAGAACAAGCAAGGAGGCCAGAGTAATTGAAATGAAAAAAATAAAATAAAATATAAAAGAGAGGGGAGGGGGCAGAGAATAGTATGGTCAGAGACATAACTGAGAGCCAGATCAGACAGGGTTTTATAAGTCACTATAAGAATGTCTGCTTTGCTCAAAAGTGGGGAAATTTTTTGAAAGATTTTGAATAAAGGAGAGACATGATTTAAATTAAAACTTGACAAGCTTACTCTAGCAGTTGGGATGAGAACAGATTCATTAGAAGAGAGAAATAAAGAGACCAGTTGGAAGACTACTGTAGTAATCCAGGCAAGAGACCAAGAAACTGATGGTTGCTTGATCTAAGTGGTAGTGACTGAGGAGTGTATGTAAGTGTGTTTTATAAATGTTTTACATATATTACACACACACACACACACACACACACACACACACACATTTATTTTGGATAATATAAAGTGAAAGAAATAAGAAGGGGATCAAGGAAGACTCAAGATTTAGGGTCTGAACTCTTAGAAGAACAGTATTAATAGATGTGAAATGACTGCCAGAGTAGCAAGTTTAACTCCACTGAGTTAGTTAATAAGCTCTATTTTGGATATATTAAGCTTGGGAAACTTTTTTTATACATCCAAGAGAACATGTGGAGTTACCAGCTGAATAAGAGCTTGAGTTAAGAGGGGGGATTTGGGCTAGAGACATAAATCTAGGAATCATTAGCAATAAAGAATAAATATTCGAGACTAGCTAAGCTTGCCTAATAGGTATGTGTAGATAAATATGAATGAGAGCATGCACGAAGGAGGGAGGAAGAAAAGCATGAGTACCAAGGACTGAGGCTAAGGCATGCCAATGTTTACTGGCATGATCAGGGAGTTGATTAGGAAAAAAACAACTGGAAAAGGAGCAGTAAGACTTAGGAATAAAACCAGGTACTTATGAAACCCCAGATATCAAGTGAATATCAAGGAAGAAGTGATCAATCATGTTGAATGCTAAGAGCTCAAGATGACAGATGAATATTAAATACTGCATTTAACAATGTGATAGTCACTGATGATCTTAAGAACAGTAGCCCACAGAGAAATAATGGCAAATACCTAAAACAAAAGATTAAGAAAAGGAGGAGACAAATTGGTACAATTACAAGGCAACTTTTTGCAGTTCTACTGTTAATAGAAGGAAGAAACAGGACAGTGACTGAAGCAAAACAAAAAAACAAAAAAAAAAAAAAAGTTCTTTTATGATGGAATGACCTGGAAGAAAGGGAAAGCTGATGATAAAAAGGAAAAAAAAAATAGGGTGGAATTTTTTTGTGGGGGCAGGGGGTGGTACTGGGGACTGAACTCTAGAGTGGTTACCACTGAGCCACATCCCCAGTCCTCCTTATTTTTTGAGACAGTCTCACCAAGTTGCTATGGGCCTCATTAAGTTATTGAGGCTGGCATTCAACCTGTGATCCTCCTGTCTCACCCTCAGTCATTGGGATTTCATCAGGTGTGTGCCAGCACACATGGCTGGAAGTAATAATCACAAATATAAAGAACAAATGCAATCTAAAATACAGGTAGATAGGTTGTTCTTAGCTAGGAACACAGAAATCACCCACCTACCATAATGAGAGAGAAGTATTATAGGCAGATCTTTTAAGAGTCTTGACATATTCCACTTGTCTATAATGATACTGTACTATTAAATATATTGTTATTGTTCCTTTTTATAGATGAGAAAACCAACGAAGAAAGGTTATGTAACATAGTTGGCAGAAATAGCTAGTAAGTGGCACAATCAGGATTTGAACTCTTATAAGCTGATTCCAAAATCTTCGCTCATCTCTCCACACGAGAAATTTGTTTTCTGAATGTAGTGCTCTAATTAATAAAAGCAAGAAAACTGGACTGGTCACTCAATGCCACAAAATTTATTAGTGAAATCTCTACGAGGGCTTACTAGAAACTCCTCAGGATTTAGAATCAGACAAAGTTGGTTTTGAATCTTGGTTTCAATTCTTTATGCAACCCTGGGAAAATTACTCTGAGCTTCCACTTCCTCAACTGTAAAAAATACACAAGATTAAGCACTTAGTATCTTGCCAGTCATACTAGGTATTCAACAAGTAGCAACATTACTACTATAACCTTCCTATTTCCCTCTTCCAGGCTTCCACAGGCGTCTCCTATTTCTAATTCTCTAACATAACTCTCTCCCTATAATACTTATTTTCTTTCCACATCTGACTGCCAAATTACTGACCACTTCAACAATCTGACCACTTCAAAGATGTCAGAAGGGTACCAGAAGTAAATGTCAACTAGACTCTCCTATGCTTCCTCCACATCAGGTGGTCTGAATTCCCAAAGTCCCCCAGTTTAAAAAACAGCCTATCTCATTAGTCATGTAGGCTAATTTTAACTCACGGCAGAACCTAGAGGCTGAGAGAGTCTTTTAACTCAAACCACTACTACATTAAATATAACACACTTAGAAAAGGGAAAATCTTTAGTTAGGTGACAATTTCATGTTTAAATATTATAAATTAGATGGCATGCATGATAAATACTCAAATCGTAAAAAAGCTCAGCTCTCACCTGCAAAGTGAAGTGCTAAATCACGGTACAGTTCTCTACTCATGCTTTGAAACTCGGCCTCTTGCCATACTTTCCCATCAGGCGTTCGAATCTTGGTCTCTGAAGGGTTGAAACCTAATATATACCAGTAATACAGAATATTCTCATCAAAGTTCATATCAAAATATATTTTGTTGAGCATACTTTTTTGAATGAGATATGTGACATAAAATTCACTCTTTTAAAATGTACATCTCAGAGGTTTTACTATATTTACAAAGTTATACAACCATCTAATTCCAGAGAATTTCATCACCTTGAAAACAAATCCTGTACCTATTAGCAGTCATTTCCCACATGATCTCTTCCATCTCTGGCAACTACCAATCTACTTTCTATCTTTATGGATTTGCCTATTCTGGACATTTCACATGGAATCATACAACACATTGTCTCCTGAATTAAGGAAGTCACATTTTCAGGAAAGTATATGACATAAGCATTATTTTGGTATTTTGAGGAAGGTGCTAGGCAATTGCTCTACCACTGAGTTACCCAATCCCCAGTCCATAAGCATTATTTATATGAGAATTTCAGCTGGAGGAGCAGAACAGTTGTTAAGGAATAACAAAAGTTTGCAGTAATGAGCCAATCCCAACAGTGAACACAAGCTGATAGTACAATCGTTTATGAAACCAAACAGAAAAATGTCCCTAATCCATGCCTTTTTGATAGTTGACTGGTACAAAATTCACTTCTTTTAAATAGTGAGGATGCAAGCTTTTGCCTATCAGAGCACATTTACATTTACGTGTGCCTGCTGCATTAGCATATCCTGGCACAGTTTCTCTGTCCTTGGCATCCTTAATTCCTTATGTCTTATTAGCCATATTAGCCATAGTCTTTCTGTGTCAATAATACAAAAATAGTGATGTTTCACCTGTATTATAGACTTGTGCGTCCATCAGATTTTTCCCAGCAATGACCTGGGCAAATTAGTTAATGAATTTCTCTGCTACTTCATGGTCAGCAGATGCTTTATTTACCACTACAAATCCTTAAAACTTTAATGTCTTTTCTTAAACGTCTGCAACCAGCCTCTTGAATATTTATAGTTCCTTCAATTTCAGTTCATTAGGATAGATCTTTACTTGTTTCAGGATGGGCATATCATTAAGAGGTCTGTGTTCACGGCGATGTTAACAGATCTATAATTTCAAAATACAATCAAGATATTCATATTTAGCTTGATGTTGTGTTTTCCTATTTTTCCTTAAATTCTGTTCATCACTTTTAGCACAAAACTTCAACTGTTTATTTTTCTGTTTCTTCAGGTCCAGTATGGTGCTCATTCCAACACCACAGTCTACTGTAAGATGTTTCAGGCTCACATTGCTGTCCAGCTTGACTTTCTGAGCTGATAAATCAGAAACACTTCCTCTTCTTTAAATATCTGTTACCCATAAGGTTATCTGCAGGGCTTTTTGACATTTTCAGCAATACCTTTACATCATAGAATAAACAAAAAGGGAGTAGAACTTCTGGGTCTTGGCCCCATGTGGGTCATCAGGAGAACTGCCATTAGTACATCCAGCAAACCATACGCCCTTTTATCCTGTGTGGGGGAATCTGAGCATGCATGATAAAGACATTACAGCTCAAGGGCTGGTAGGGTCTTCTCTCCCTTGGAGTCTTTGAATAAACTGTGTGGTACAACTACATTTTGACTGTAACCTATCACATGAGGTCAGGCGTGAAATTTTCCACATATAGACTAGCACTCTCAAAGTTTTAGATTTTGGAGAACTTTGAATTATTTCCAATTCTTTGTCCACTTTTTCCTACTAATTGAATTTAATAAATAAAATAAAAAATTTACTGTAAACTTACTTGTGTCCATGACATTATACCAGCTCTAGGATAAAATAAGAATGATCAAGATAGGCCCTTTACCTTCTTTGGTGTTTATACCAGAAAGATAAAGATATACCAACAAGAAAGTTGGGCTGGGGCTGGGGCTCAGGGGTAAAGCACTTGGGTTCAATCCTCAGCACCACATAAATAAAGAAAATAAAGGTATTATGTCCATCTACAACTAAAATATATATATATATATATATATA